TATGGGAATAGAAAAATAGGTCCACAGTTCAGAATACAGTCCAAAAATATGCCCACGAATATCTTGCAGTTTAGCAAATGATAAAAATCTTATTTCAAATTGGTAGGAAAAGAAATGGCTACTCTATAAATAATGTTAGGACAACTGGCTTTCCAAAATGAATAGAAGATATTAAAAATCCCAAACTGATTAAAGATTTAAATATTTAAAAAATAAATTACTAGAAGAAAATACAGAATATCTTAAGATGAAGAGGTTCTTTTTTTTTAAGATCTTATTTTTATTTATTTGACAGAGAGAGACACAGCGAGAGAGGGAACACAAGCAGGGGGAGCGGGAGAGGGAGAAGCAGGCTTCCCGCGGAGCAGGGATCCCGATACGGGGCTCGATCCCAGGACCCTGGGATCAGGACCTGAGCCGAAGGCAGACGCTTAATGACTGAGCCAACCCAGGCGCCCCTAAAAACCTTTTATAAAACAACAAATAAAAGCAAACAATCCAAAAGAAAAATAGGCAAAGAATTTAAAATGAGAATAAGAGAGAACACAAGAGCAACAAGTTGGAAGCTGGAAAAAATATGGACAAATGATAACACTGAGCTGAATCTGAAGTCAGCAATAGGGAAAACCAAGACACAGTCCATTTACATCATAAAACCCGCAAAAGACTCAGGAAGCACATCAGGAATTGGAAGTGTGATGGGACTAAAAATAGGATGATGGGTTGAAAATCTTAAAAGGGATAGAGACCCTCATAGCACCCTACCCAATGCTGTACAGTCAGGAGACTGTCCCTCCTCCCCCGATTTATTTATTTATTTTCTGGAAGGGTAAAATAGAGAGTCTCTGGACAGGGGAACAATAGGCACTGTTGAAGGAAAGGATTTGTTGAATAGAGGGGGAAGAAAGTAAAAAAAAAAAAAAATCTAGTGATAAGACCACCCCTCTTCTTACACACATACACAGCTTTCTTTCCCCAAGTTGGGTCCCAAAGACTTAAAGATATCAATATTCAAGGTTTTCCAAGGAAACAGCCGATCAAATCACTCTGCAGAAAAGACCACAGTAGCGCAAACAGAGTTTCCAAAAGGGGGATACCTCAGGGGGAGAACATTTGACTGCAGAGTTTCCAAGCAACTTTCTAGTACTGGGATCTTAAATATGAGCAAAATTCTCCATATACTTGAATAAAACTTCTCAAATGAATGATAGACACCAAAACAAATGATCAGTAAACAACCTGAAGGAAACAGACTTCTCAAAGAAAAAAAATTCTCTCATTTACATTCTCAAAGGGATAAGAGATGGTATTGCATAATGAAATGACAACAGTATGCTACATAAAAAAGGAATATTTGGAGACTCTTTTTTTTTAAAAAAAGATTTTATTTATTTGACAGAGAGAGACACAATGAGAGAGGGAACACAAGCAGGCAGAGTGGGAGAGGGAGAAGCAGGCTTCCTGCTGAGCAGGGAGCCCAATGTGGGGCTCGATATGGGGCTCGATCCCAGGACCCTGGGATCATGACCTGAGCCAAAGGCAGGCACTTAACGACTGAGCCACCCAGGCGCCCCTGAATATTTGGAGATTCTTAAAAAATCTTTGAAAATATTCAAAATAGGGGCCCCTGGGTGGCTCAGTCCAGTAAATGCTAAGCGTCTGCCTTCATCTCAGGTCATGATCTCAGGGTCCTTAGAGCCCTGAATCTGGCGCTCAGCGGCAAGTTGGCTTCTCCCTCTTCCTCTGTGACCTCTCACACTTTTGCTCTCTCTCAAATAAATAAAGAAAATATTAAAAAAAAAAGAAAATATTCAAAATAGGGCCACCTGGGTGGCTCAGTCAGTTGGGCATCTGACTCTTGGTTTCAGCTTGGGTCATAGTCTTGGGGTTGTGGGATTGAGCCCTGTGTTGACTCCCTGCTCAGCGGGGAGTTTGCTTCTCCCTCTCCCTTTGCCCCTCCCCATTGCTTGTGCTCTCTCTCAAATAAATAATACCCTTTTTTAAAAAGGAGGAAAGAGGGCACCTGGGTGGCTCAGTTGGTTAAGCAACTGCCTTCAGCTCAGGTCATGATCCTGGAGTCCTGGGATCGAGTCCCACATCGGGCTCCCTGCTCAGCGGGGAGTCTGCTTCTCCCTCTGACCCTCTTCCCTCTCGTGCTCTCTATCTCTCATTCTCTCTCTCTCAAATAAATAATAAAATAAAATCTTTAAAAAAAAAAAGGAGGAAAGATAAAATCAGAGTACCAGTCCAGGAGGTCCAACACTGGACTAATAAAATATTTAGAAAAAGAAGAAAGAAAACAGGCAAGGAGACAAAATTATTGGAGAAAATTGGAGAACTTGACATTCAGATTGAAAAGGACTACTGAATGTTGTTTCTTTTATGGGTATCAGTTACATGGGTATTTCCTTTACAATAGTTTATTAAACTGGATATTTATGTATTTATGGGATATGTACTTTTCTGTGTATGTGTTATATTTCACAAAATTTTTTTAAATTAAGGGTGGAGGGGGGAAGGAAAGGCTCACCCTTAAACTCACCACAGTGAGTTAAAACAGACCCACATGAAAAATAAATAAAATAAAACAGACGCACATCATGACACATCATAAAATTTCAGGATACTAAGGTCAAAAGATCCTACAAGCGTCCAGAGAGAAAAGAAACAGATTTCAAAGGATGAATTCAAGAGTTAGAATGGCACTGTACCTCTCAATAGCAGCTCTGTAAGACAATGAAGCAATACCTTTAAAATTCTGAGGGAAAATCACTTCTAACCTAGAATTCTATACCTGGCTATGTTCTCAATAAAATATTAGGTTAAAATAAAAACATTTTCAGACATAGTCTCTTTAAGTTACTTCCTATGCATTCTTTCCTAAGGAAGCTATTGGAGGAGGATATGAGCCACCACTATGAAAGAAAAAACCGTGCCAGGGGAAGAGGGAGCCAGGAAAAAGAGATCCAACATTCAAGAGAGAAAGGAATCACACGCTAAGGGGGAAGGAAAATCCCCAAACGGAAAGTGCTTCACAGGCCATTGGTGATTAATTAGAATACAAAAGATAAGAGAGAATCAAGGATCACTTCCCTAGTTCTGGCTTGAACAGCTTGGCAGAAGAGCATGTAATTAGGTGAGAAACACCAGCAGAGCAGGTAGGAGAGCAGGTATGCTTCTGGACTGTTGAGTTTGAGGGGAGATGGTGACCACAAGCTTCCCCGGGTTTCAAGCTGACATCTGGACTAGAGATACAGAGTCATACGCTGTTGGTGTAAAGATAGCACCCGAAGTCCCTGAAGTGGAAGAGCACAGCCGTGAACACAGTGTAGAGCGGCAAGCGAAGAAGGCCTAGGACAGAGCCCTGAAAACTCCCAGACACCGGAGGAGGCAAAAGAAAAGCTGCTGGCAAAGGAGGAGCTAGAGAGACAGGAATAAAATGAGGAGAATGTGAGGGTAGCAGGAAAGTCAAGAGAAGAGATTGCTTCAAGGAGGATGGAATGTTCAATAGCCAAGGAAGAAAAGGATTAAAAAGTATCCAGTGGGGGCACCTGGGGGGCTCTGTCAGATGAACGTCAAACTCTTGATTTCGGCTCAGGTCACGATCTCAGGGTCCTGAGATTGAGCCCCACGTCGGGCTCCGCACTCAGCGGGGAGTCTGCTTGGGATTCTCTCTCTCCCTGTCCCTCTGCTCCTTCCCTCACTGGTGCGCGCTCCCTCTCTCAAAATAAAAAATAAATAAGGTAAATAAAATAAAATAAATAAAATAAAATAAAATAATAAAATAAATAAAATAAAATCTTAAAATAAATAGAATAAAATAAAATAAAATGTGACCAGTGAATTTCATGGCATGGAAATCACTGGTAACTGGTAACAAGGGCAACGATTTTTCCCTATTAGATCACCAAAGTTTAAAAAGATTGATCAAGTAATCAAGCTGTAGAGAAATGGTGCACTCATGCACTACTGGTGGAAATGTAAATGAGCACCACGTTTTCGATAAGCAACTTGGGAATACCTATCAAACGTAAAATATATATAACCTCTGACCCAGAAATATCCTTCTAGTACATTCTTCTAGATGTTCCTCCGAGAGAATTATTGGTACAGGTGTGCAAAGTAAGTACGAGAATGTTCAGTGGCAGCTCCGTATTCAGAATTTGGGAGATGGGAAAACTACATCGCCATCAAGAAGGAATAAGATGAATAAATTTAATGAAATAATTAATGTATCCAAAAGATACCTATGCAGTTGCTCATAAATGAAGTAGATATGATTGTACGGACATAGAACGGTGTCTATAACGTAGCAAGTGAAAAATCAGTATACACAGTCTGCATGTTTCTAAAATGTATAGATAAAAAGATAAAATATAAAAACCAAATGGTATTTGGGGGACAAAGGAGGGCTTTCACTTTTCCACTAGTTGGATTTTTTACAAGAATGTATTATTTTGGGGGCACCTGGGTGGCTCAGTTGGTTAAGCAACTGCCTTCGGCTCAGGTCATGATCCCAGGGTTCTGGGACCGAGCCCCGCATCAGGCTCCCTGCTCAGCGGGAAGCCTGCTTCTCCCTCTGCCCTCCCCCCCTGCTCATGTGCACTCTCTCTCTCTCTCTCCCTCTCACTCTCTCTTTCTCCCTCAGATCAATAAAACCTTTTTAAAAAAACAAGAATTTGGGGCGCCTGGGTGGCTCAGTCATTAGGCGTCTGCCTTCGGCTCAGGTCATGATCCCAGGGTCCTGGGATCAAGCCCCGCGTCAGGGCTCCCTGCTTTGCGGGAAGCCTGCTTCTCCCTCTCCTGCTCCCCCTGCTTGTGTTCCCTCTCTCGCTATGTCTCTCTCTGTCAAAGAAATAAAATCTTAAAAAAAAAAAACCCAAGAATGTATTATTTTTATAAAATTTTAAGATTATATGAAAGGAAAAAAAGAGAGAAAAAGCACCTGCTAAGACAACAGTGCAGGAGAAATTAGAATAGCCAGCTGTCTGATGCCTTACCTTCGCTGAGATAGGTTCTTGCTATAGATTTGGCTGACAAAATCATGTAATTGAAATTTGGGGCAAGATGCTCCATCTTTATCACAGTCTTCAAAGTGCACAGAGAGTAACAGTTCATTCAGAAGCTGCAGCACTTGTAAGTGAGGCATGTCCCTTGCGGTGCAGATGTTTAGGACCGCGTATAACACTCCCTCCAACCACTTGATATTGAGGATTATTCCCCCTACACATTAATGGGGAGGGAAATACCAGTTAGCACCACCAAAAGGGTTTGCCTAGAATATAGGACAACCCCCAGGCAGTGAACAACCACCTTTTTTTCAAGATAGGTTGGTCGTAAGAAAGAACCTGAAGATAAGCAAACACTCCTCTTTGTAAGCCAAGAGCCCTAATTGTGCCCTTTATAACAAATTGTGTGTTACCCCTACCCTAGGAGGACAGGTATGACTAATGTAAACATTGCTAATGACAAAAGCATCCTCGAAATCTCTAGAATGATCCTTCCAATAAGGAGAAGAGACCAGGGAAAAATACAAGATTAGAGCAGGGAAAAGCCATGTAGTGCCAGACATCACATCCTCTTGTTTAAATAGGCTCTTACCTCTGGCTGTTTCTAGTTTAGCCTTAACAGGTCTAAGTGCTCAGACTTCTCTGCTTTCCCTAAAGAAGGCTGGCTTTTTGCCACCAAAACTGCTCCCATTCAAAACCTAAATAGCTGGGGGTGCCTGGGTGACTGAATTGGTTGAGTGTCTGCCTTTGGCTCAGGTCATGATCCTGGGGTCCTGGGATCAAACCCCCACTCGGGTTCCCTGCTCTGTAGGGAGCCTGCTTCTCCCTCTCCCTCTGCTGCTCCCCCTGCTCATGTGTGCGCTCTCTTAAACAAATAAGTAAGATCTTTAAAAACAAAACAAAAAACCTAAATAGCTGCGAATATGTCCAGCCTGTACGCCCCCTACACACATACCCAAGACACAACACACACACACACTGGGATTATAAAATAGCACCAGGCCAAGAAGAAAGTAACTTTTAAAAGAATGCCAAAAACATGGCAAGCCAGTACCAGCAGGACTGTAGGGACAGGTAGCCTGAAGAATCATAGGATCTTGGAGGGCAGCTGTGATGTCCTTGTTGGCCCCCCAGATGTTGACAAAATTTTCAACACACTGATACTGAGGCCGCAAGATATTGGTGTGGTTCAGTAGGAGTTTCAACCTGAAAGGAAAGCACCCAAGACAGGGAGTGCAGAGCCAGTACTCCCATAAACCACTCCATGACCCACTGCGTTGGATCGCATCCAACCCCCTCCCCCCCACCCTGCGACTTCCTGCCCTGCACGGCGCCGCTCAGAGGCCACCGTGGGTGCAGGCAGCACTGAGGGCACCAGTTAACCGTTGTCTTGTTCGGCAGTCTACCTGATGCTTAGTGAATGTGGTCTCTCGCCAGGCACTAGGCTAGACAGCAGGGGTACAAAAATAATATTTGACACATGCTGTCAATCACTTTTCATGGTGTTGACTTCCCACTGATGCACAAGGGGAACACAAGTCAGGTTCAAGTGGTGGGAAGCAATGCTCCATTGCAGTTCTAACCATCTGCCCATCAACGGAGACAGTCCACCCACAAGGGCTGTTTATGGAGAAGTGGGGAAGACACAATTAGAAAGGCTGGCTGGGTGTTGCAGATGAAGCTGCTCTTCCACCTTATTACTGGGAATGACCGACCCCAAGGGGGAGGCAGGGGGCTGGGGTGGAGGTGGGGGGGAGGATCCAGATAGGAGCGGGTGGAGCAGTTCTGCCAGCTTCCCACTCACCCTAATAGGCTACCTGGCTACTGGGACGGCAGCCACGAAGCTGTACACGATGCAACCTTTCTCCAGGCGGGTTTGAATTTCTAGGCAGATATTAGGCAGCTGAGAGGGCAGGCAGCAGAGGAACAGCACGTTGGCCCAGTCCACCAGATAAGGGTTATGGTAAAAACACTGGATTCCCAGTTTCTGGAACTCATCTGGGAGGGATAAAGGAAGAAAGAAAGATCACATTACAAAGGAGTTTGACCTAAACATCAGCTGTGGGGAGAGGATGACAATGACTTTTTCTCAAGTCCTCTCTCCACATGAATCAGAGAGACCCCCTCCGGACGTCTTCTAAAAGGCATGGGCCACGCCCTAACCCCATCATCAAAAAAGCTAGTGTCACTGCAGCCGTGCTGGAGATAATAATTCATCCTATCTTACTTTTAGACCAAATGCTAGAATTTTTCAGGTTGGTTGGTTAGGAAGAAAAAAATCTGGAAGAAGCCTTCTTGCTCTAATTTAATGATGGTTTATCATGTGCCAGGTAGTGTACAAAGTACTTTACATACATTATCTAAGTCAGTCCCCACAAGGACCTTCTGAGACTAGTATTATTCCTATATTATAGACGAGGAAACTGAGGTTTTGAGAAATCACATGGCTTGAGCTGGTGGGAAAGGCTAAGAGAATGGAAGAACATAGGGCAGAGGCTGGGAGGAGTTTGGAAAGATATACTTACAGTTTCAGTAAAGTATATGCAACTTATTGTTAATTTTTTTTTTATTTTGGTGTAGTCCCAAGAGTTTTTTTTTTTAATATTTATTTATTTGAAAGAGCGAGAATGAGAGAGAGAGAGTACATGGGCGGGGGAGGGTCAGAGGGAGAAGCAGGCTCCTCGCTGAGCAGGGAGCCTGATGCGGAACTCGATCCCGGGACTCCAGGATCATGACCTGAGCCGAAGGCAGTCGCTCAACCAACTGAGCCACCCAGGTGCCCGCAACTTATTGTTATTTTAACAGGATAGTTTTAAACGTTGAGAGAAATGTGATGACTCATGTATTTACATTCAGTCACTGGCAGTTAATCATTTGTACTTATTCGATATGGATTTCAAAAGTAAAAATGTAAACTCACATAAGGTAGTATGTTTTAAGGGTTGTTGGAAAACAGAATATTACAGACATTGGAGAAGTGAGTTCTTATTTTAACCACCAAGGGTATAATGTAACATTTGACGCTGATGTTATCTGGGCACTCATAAACCTAGAAGATGGATGGGACAAAGAGGAAGTTTAGAAAACATGCACGTCCATACTTCTTTCACAGGTTGTTCTCAAAATTGTATAGAATCTGATGCTAAGGGACGCCTGGGTGCTCAGTCGGTTAAGCCTCTGCCTTTGGCTCTGGTCATGATCCCTGCTTTGGGATCCCTGCTCACTAGGCAATCTGCTTCTCCCTCTCCCTCCTCCACCCCAGCTCATGCTCTCTTCTCTCTCTCTCTCTGTCAAATAAACAAAATCTTTAATAATAATAATCTGATGCTAAGCATTTTTTTTTAAGATTTTCTTTATTTATTTGAGAGAAAGAATGAGAGAGAAAGAGCACATGAGAGGGGGGAGGGTCAGAGGGAGAAGCAGACTCCCTGCCAAGCAGGGAGCCTGATGCAGGACTCGATCCTGGGACTCCAGGATCATGACCTGAGCCGAAGGCAGTCGCTTAACCAACTGAGCCACCCAGGCACCCTGATGCTAAGCATTTTGAATTCTTTCTTCCTTACACAACATGCAGGGATGTTCTAAAACTGTAATTTTATTATTAATAAATATAGTGCTTTCCAAAGAATATATGCACCTTATTGAAACATATATACTAGTCCTATTGATGAAATCTGAGAAATTTGTTTTACATGGTAAGATTCTTTTTAAGTTTAATATAGAAAGAATGCTTGCAAATTAAAAAGAAAAATTCAGTCAGGCACTCCAACAGAAAAACTGGACAAAAAGAACTCAAAAAAAGGAACGGGTAATAAAGCTATAAAACATATTCAGTTCTTTAGTGATAAGTAAAGAATATATTAAAACAAGAAAAATTTAAAAGGTATATTAAAATGGTGATTAAGGGGCACCTGGGTGGCTCAGTAGGTTGAGCGTCTGACTCTTGATTTCAGCTCAGGTCATGATCTCAGGATTAGGAGATGGAGCCCTGCTTTAGGCTCCGTGCTTAGTGGGAAGACTGCTTGAGATTCTCTCTCTCTTTCCCTCGCCCTCTGCTCCTCCCCAACTCGCACGCACGTGATCTCTCTCAAATAAATAAATAAATAAATAAATCTTTAAACACACACACACACACACACACACACATCTTTCTGGCTTCTTTCAGGGCTAGCAAGCAGAGAACTCAGTATGCTGCATGCAGGGACTCCTTATTCAAGGGACCCTTTCAAAATGGCCTCATCAACACCCAAATCCCTCTCGGCCACAAACTGTTCCTCACCCAGGGCCTCTGGCCTCCGAGTGGAGATCCTCAGGTTCTCAGCAGGGATGGGGACAAGCTGAAGCAGTACACGAGCCAGTTGCTTCCCAAGGTGACCACCTCCAATGATGCCCACCTTTAACTCATCATCATCGGGAATGCCAGTAAGCAATCCAGTCAAGGGACAGCTGGAAGTCTGCTTCTCATGGAATGATTCTCTGGAGAATGAACACACAGACACATAAATAAATACACATGAACCCTGTAGCTCTTCTTAACTGTCAACCTCCGATGTTCTCTGCTTTAACTTCCTCATGTGGCAGCCTGGTGGCCCCTGAAGTACTCTAGAGATAAGGCATTCCAATTAGGTGCCACTTACTCAGCATTGCTGGGGAATGAAATGCTCCCCCTGAGCAAATTTTCCACAAAGTAAAGCGTCCCACTTCAAGGGACTGAAACTTGTTTAAAACGTTTTTAAATGATCATATTTTGTTGTTGTTACATGTACCATGCATTTCCCTGCCTTCTTAAACACAAGGTCTGAATATTTAACTGTTTGACTCAAAACTATCATTGTGAACTGCTGTTTATGCAGCATCCTGGAACACTGTGGGCCAGTTGCTTCATTGCTTCCTGTGTAGACAGTTGTCAGTTTTCATTGCCATCATGGTAAGCATACCCCTCTTCTACCACATACCTACTCTTTCTGCTTTGCTATTTTAGTTTTGCATACACCTGGGTAACCAGGTAACTTAGCTTTTTTCAAACATACGATTTATAAAAGGAAGTGGTATATAGGGGAAAACAAACCTGAGAAATTGAGGATCAAAGGTTTGAGACCACTCTTTCCAGAGGCTCACTTACTGTTGGTTCTGGATGTGTATCCTTGGCCCAAGGTGAACAAAGTCTGACCTCTGAATACATAAGGCATTGTTTTCTGTTTTTATATGACAATCTTATATTTGTTCTCTATTTCTGTTAAAATTAGACTTAAGCTCTGGAGTTTCCAGTGTTGTGATAAACATCACAAGCCACATTCTATTTAAAGCTTCTCTCTAGGTTGAAAGGAAAGCATTTACTCTGTGCCTGATCCTCCCAAATATAAAATGCCTCCCAGAAATTTCACATTTTGGTTTCTCACCACTCATCTGGGATGCAACCAGAAAGTTTATGTATTCTTATCAGTCAACTAATCAGCAGACTTATAAAGCAGCCTGCCTCTTTGTGTATCTGCTATATCTGTAATATGTTCAATTCAGATCTGGTCCCACCATCCAGGAGTTGATCTAATTTCAGAAAAAAGTAGTCTGGGGGCGGGGGAGCACTACCAATGTTCCAGGAGTAGCCTATAGAATCCAGGAGTCTGGGCTTAGGCACCTGGCTCTCACACACTTCCTGTTTAAGTGTCTGAAGCCGCATTGTATAAAGACACCAGAGGTCAGGACTAGACTGAGCTTCTTTGCAAATCAGTATCCTTGGGTTTCATGCAAGTCAGCTGACGAAAAGGACCCCCAGAGTTTCAGGTGGCTTTCCTGTTAGGGAGAATTCCACTATTAGCTTAGCCCAGAAAGGGAGAACCAACCTCATTTTCAGCCAACAGCCACAGGATAGTCATTGGTAGCTGTGGAAGACAAGCTGGTGGTCCCAGTGAGTGAGTGAATAGGTGAATGAATGATCATTTAATCAATCCACCCACCAAAAGGAAGTCACCACAATCTGTGCTTCGTTATGTAACCACAGCCAGCGGACTCTGGTATGCATTTCCCAGTGCCTTCAGACCACAGTGATTGACTGTGGGTTGGAATAGGTAGGAAGACACTCCCCCTGCCAAAGGTATCCTCCAATATAGAAAGTTTAAGTCATTTGGATACTCCCCGGTGAGATTCTTCTCCATCTGCCCTACCTTGGAGACCTAGCTTACCTCAAGTTACAGAGTAGCTTGCAGAAGAAGGTTGCATGGGCACAGGCCTTGATCATCAGCCCTCGAGAACGGCCCTGCAAATAGAGCCAGCTGCGATCTTCCTCTTGAATCCCATACTCAAACTGCAGGGACTCAAGGTCCCCTAGCATGTCCATTTCTAAGCCACCATCTCCTGCAGTGACAGATGCCAATCAGTTTGGCTCCCTGTCTTGGAAGACGAGGGAGTCTATGCAGGAGGGTGTGTGCCCAAGTCACAGGCTCTTGTGATGGTGGGCTTCAGCACCTCTCTCCTCCCACATTCTGTACTTGCAGTGTGAGTCCTGGAGGATTCCTATGCACTGACTGCCCATGGATCAGGAATACCTGGATTCACAAAAAAACTGAACAAAAATCCAAAGTAACGTTCCTCCACATAGGCTACATGCACATTTTCAAGAGATGCATTTACATTAGCAGTGGGTTTCACAGATGCTCGTGAGCCAGGACCTTCTCCCTTCCACTCCCTCCTAAGCCTTAGAAATAGAACTGGGCATGTACACCACACTTCAGAAGAATTCTTTTCACTAAACTCTGTGTTCCCCAAAGGATAGGAAAGAGCCCAAAATAACTAACATGGTCCCCTGCCTAGGGCAAGGACAGTTGGATTTTAGAAAATGAAGCCAGAGATACATAAGCCCGTTTACATATATCTCTCACCAACCAAAGTGAGGAGAAGGTGGCACTACTCCTCAGTACTTCTGGTCCTGGAGAGTAAGAATACATTTCCAGGGAGAATTACCCAAGAAAGCTGTCATTATGACTCCTTAGCTACCAGATTACTTCAGTCTCTGAGCCTTAAAGGGGCCAGCCCCACAGAGAGATTTTCAGACCTGCCTCATGAGGACAGGAATTCTTTCCACTAGTTTCCCCCCCCCACCCCGAGGATTTATTTGAGGGGGGAGGATCAGAGGGAGAGGGGTAGAGTCTCAAGCAGATTCCCCACTGAGTGCGGAGCCCAGCACAGGGCTTGATCTCACGACCCTGAGATCATGACCTGAGCCGAAATCAAGTCAGACACTCAACCAACTGAGCCACCCAGGCGCCCCTTTCCACTACTTCTAGGAGCACTAGAAACAGGGAAGTATGGGATCCTCCTTTTCCTAACAGAAGCTTCTAGACTTCTAGATTTTTCCCAGACTGTAATATCATACAGATCTCAGCACTAGTCAAGGAGTTATTTTTCAAACTCCTTCTTTTGTATTCAAGATACTGATGAGTAAGATGAGTAAGTTCTGGGGATCTAATGTACACCATAGTGACTATAGTTAATTATACTATATACTTGAAATTTGCTAAGAGTAGATTTTAAATGTACTCACCACATACATAAAAGGTAATTATATGAGATGACAGATGTATTAATTAACTGAACTGTGGTAATCATTTCACAACATATATCAAATCATCATGTTGTATGCCTTAAATATCTATAATTTTTATTTTTTATTTTATACAATTATACTTCAATAAAGCCAGGGAAAGAAATCAGTGATATTCAGAACTCTATTTTATTATAGCAATGGCAAAACTGAGATCAGAAATCAAAACTAGCTCAAATCTCTAATCCACTTTTTTTGAAAGTAATCTCTACATTGCATGTGGGGCTTGAATTCTCGACCCCGAGATCAAGAGTTGCACCCTCTACAGACTGAGCCCGTGAGGCACCACTCTAATCCACTTTTTAAATTAAAAAAAAAAAAAATTGAGGTGAAACTCACATAACATAGCCATTTAGAAGTAAACAATTCAGTACATTCACAATACACTCATACCCACTACCTCTAGTTCCAAAACATTTTTATCTTCCCGATGAAAGGAAACCCTATACCCGTTAAACAGTTACTCCCCACTTGCTGGCCACCCTCCTCAGCCCCTGGCACCCCAAATCTGCTTTTTGTCTCTGCGGATTTACCTTTTCTGGATGTTTCACGTGAATGGAACCACAAAATATGTGACCTTTCATGTCTCTGGCTTCTCTAATCCCTTTCATAGCAGGGCTCTTTTTAGTTTTTTTTTTTTTAATTTAAATTCAAATTTGTTAACATCCAGTGCAGCCCTGCTTTCAGGAGCATCCAGCAATTGATCCCCCACATACAAGCCGTGTGCTCATCCCAGCAAATGCCCCCCTAAGTGCCTATCAGCCATTTAGCCCATCCCCTCTCCTACCTCCCCTGCAGCAACCCTGTTTGTTCTCTATAGTTAAGAGTCTCTTATGGATTATTTCCCGCTGTTTTAATCTTATTTTACGTTTCCTTCCCTTCCCCTATGTTCATGATGTTGTTTCTTAAATTCCACGAGTGAAATCATCTGATTGTTTTCTCTGACTTATTTTGCTTAGCATAATATATTCTAGTTCCATCCACGTTGTTACAAATGGCAGGATTTCATTCTTTTTCATCAGAGTTATTTTCTGTGTGGTGTATGTATATACAGTGTGTGTACACTGTATATCATGCTGGAGCCCGATGCAGGGCTCGATCCCAGATCCCCGGGACCATGACCTGAGCCGAAGACAGACGCTTAACCTGCTGAGCCACCCAAGTGCCCTCTGTTTTTTTTTTTTTTTTTTTAAGACTAATTTATTGGGCACCTGGGTGGCTCAGTCGTTAAGCGTCTGCCTTCGGCTCAGGTCATGTTCCCAGGGTCCTGGGATCGAGTCCCATGTTGGGCTCCCTGCTCGGCAGAGAGCCTGCTTCTCCCTCTCCCACTCCCCCTGCTTGTGTTCCTGCTCTCGCTCTCTGCCAAATAAATAAATAAAATCTTTAAAAAAAAAAAAGACTAATTTATTTAGGGGTGCCTGGGTGGCTCAGTCATTAAGTGTCTGCCTTTGGCTCGGGTCATGATCCCAGGGTCCTGGGATCGAGCGCCATATCGGGCTCCCTGCTTGGCAGAGAGCCTGCTTCTCCCTCTCCCACTCCCCCTGCTTGTGTTCCCACGCTCGCTATCTGTCAAATACATAAATAAAATCTTAAAAAAAAACTTAGTGTGTATATATATATATATATATATATATATATATGTACACACACACATACAAAGAAGATGGGTATATCTATACCCATACAAATACATATATACCCATCTTCTTTATCTATTCCATCAGTTGATGGACATTTGGGCTCTGTCCATAATTATGCTATTGTTGATAATGCTGCTATAAACACTGGGTTGCATGTGCCCCCTTTGAATCAGTATTTTTGTATTTTGTATCCTTTGGATAAATACCTAGTAGTGCAACTGTTGGGCCATAGGGTAGTTTTATTTTTAATTTTTTGAGGAACCTCCATACTACTTTCCAGATTGCCTGTACCAGTTTGCATTCCCACTGACAGTGCACAAAGGTTCCCCTTTCTTCACAACCTCACCAACACCTGTTATTTCCTCAGTTGTTAATTTTAGCCATTCTGACAGGCTTGAAGTGGTATCTCATTGTGGTTTGACTTGTTATTTCCCTGATGATGAGTGACGTTGAGCACCTCTTCATGCATCTGTTAGCCATCTGGATGTCTTCTTTGGAAAAGTGTCTATTCATGTCTTCTGCCCATTTCTTAACTGGATTATTTGTTTTTTGGGTGTTGAGTTTGATAAGTTCTTTATAGATTTAGGATACTAACCCTTTATCCAATATACCATTTGCAAATATCTTCTCCCATTCCATTGGTTGCCTTTTGCTTTTGTTGTCTCCTTTGCTATGCAGAAGCTTTTTATCTTGATGAGTTCCCAATAGTTCACTTTTGCTTTTGTTTCCCTTGCCTCTGGAGGTACGGGGTATGTTAAGTAAGAAGTTGCTGTGGCCAAGGTCAAAGAGGTTGCTGCCTGTTTTCTCCTCTAGGATTTTGATGGTTTCCTGTCTTACATTTAGGTCTTTCATCCATTTCAAATTTGTGTATTGTGTACAAAAGTGGTCCAGTTTCATTCTTCTCCATGTCACTGTCCGGTTTTCCCAATACCATTTGTTAAAGAGACTTTCTTTTTCCCATTGGATATTCTTTCCTGCTTTGTCGAAGATTAGTTGACTATCATTCGAGGGCTCTTATGTCAATCCCAATTTTAGCACTTGAAGTGAAGAGTATGGAAGTTCTTATCAAGTTTGAGAAAAGACTTCCTTTGATCACAACACTGAGTAGGTAGGTATTCCTAAGGTTGGATGTGATGTTATTGTTCTGAAGGAAAAAGTTCAAAATCTCCCCACTCAGCATGACCATGCAGCACTGGTGAACCTGTACAGGTGTGGACTCTAGGCCCATCCTTCACTAACACATTCTCAAAAATACGGATCCAGTGGTTGTGGCTTTGTAACATGTCAAGTTGGCTAGGCTAAACTACATTTCCCAGAATTCCCTTCCCTGAATATTTCTGGTTAGCCACAAGAGACTTTTGTGCAAGATCTGGAAGGTTGAGTTGAAGCAACAGCTAGTTTGTGTTGATGCTTGCAAGGTCAGGGCAGGTACTTTGTCTGCTAGCAACCCTGCTGGTGTGGGGCAGCAGTTGGACTGGCAATTGCTACAATTTCCCCTGGATCCTCCTACAGCTTCTCACACTCCTGAGCCAGGTTTGTGTTCAGCTCTGCAACAAAGGCCAGCAGCTGCAGGACACCCACTTCCTCAACATTAGAGGCAGTGAGAACTGACACGGGTTCCTGTCCATCCTCATGGGCTCCATCTTGTCCTTGCTTCCCCTCACATTTTATCCACCTTCCCTTCCCCACTGCCTGCCCTGTGGACATCCAGCTCTACCAACAGATATGAAGACAACCTTCCAGAGACTATTTAACCAAAGCCATACTTGAGTAAAGTCAAATCCCTGTAATGAATCCTACATATAGACAGACTACATACTAATGGTTCTGCTTCTCTAAATGAATCCTGATATACTAATTAATAAAGCCACCATGGTTTGTTGGACAATCAGGCAATAACTTCAGCACAATTTAGCAAATTAAACTCCTGTTTCTTCAATAGCAAGAGGGATGATTAGAGAAGGAACTATGAAGTTACCTGGAATTGCAAAGTAGAGGAGCAAGAGATGGAGTCTGATCACCTTAAAGCAGGTTTGCATTACTGACATTCTGGGCAGGATAATTCTTTGTTGGAGGGGGCTGTCCTACATTGTAGGATGTTTAGCGGCATTCTTGCTTCTACCCACTAGATGCTAGTATCACCCACTTGTTGTAGCAACAAACGGGTCTCCCGAGGGCAAAATTGTCCCCAGTTGAGAACCGCATGCCTTAAAGCCTGCTGGTTTGTTTTTTTTAAGATTTTATTTATTTATTTGGGAGAAAGAGAGAGAACGAGCCGTGGGGAGGGGCAGAGGGAGAGAGAAGCAGACTCCTTACTGAGGAGGGAGCCCAATGCGATGCCGATGCCTGGCTCTATCCCAGCACCAGGAAATCATGACTTAAGCCAAAGACAGACTTTTAACCAATTGAGCCACCCAGGCGCCCCCTGCTGTGTGCTTCTATACATCTCCTTTTCCTCTAAAACTTCACCAACTCCACAGGAGCATATAATTCTACAAGCTCTGAGAGAAACACACTATCCTATGACAGGTTAAGATAGTGAGTCCAGAGAGAAAGGGATTCACTCAACACCACACAGCTTATCAGCGGTAGAACTGAGACAAGAGGCCAGGTCTTTGGTCTCCCAGCTCAGTGCTCCGTTAACCACACAGCCGTACTTTGCCACAAACACCATTACCCCATGACTTATGTTGACAGATACTGAATGCAGTCACTGAGGCAGGTTTCTAGTGGTCCCAAGAGACAGGGCAATTATTTCATTGTTCTGCACAAAACAACTGGGAGGGAAAGAGAAGGCACCAAGGAGGAAAAAGCTTTATTAATAGAGCCTAGGCATGTCGGGGAAACCCAGTTCAGTCACAGAGATTCACAGAGATGAGAGGCTAATATTGGTACAGGGCAGGAGGCTAGTACTACAGAATATCCTGTAGAAAACCATGTGTGAAACTCAAACCTCCATCCTAATATCCTAACCGTCTGAAATGCTGCTGAGTTTAGCCCTGGTGAACCTTCTGGAAGCTCCTAGTGAAATAATGAGATTTGTGCATAAGGGAAGAGCACTACAGCACTGCTGAATCTGAGCTCCATAAAAGGTTATGGGTTTAGGGTGGGAGAAGTAGAGGAAAAGATAACGGGGATGTCCTTATCACCCACACAAGGCCATCTTGGTATGCAGGTGAGAGAAGAACCACAAGTCTTGGACAGAGGCTAGACTGGGGCATCAGAGGGCACTGGTTGAAGAAACACAACATCTGGGCAATCTCTGTCATTATGTGGAGAACTCTGTGCAGTCTGGTGTGAAGGCACCTCCAACAGTTCCTGGCTATTACTGGCACCCCTTCCTGAGGTCCCTTGGGAGAGAGCCATTTTGGTTCTTTTCTGATTTCATTCAGAGCAGAACTGCCAATGTCCAGCACCAAGTCCAGGGTCATAATTAGCAGAGAGGAATGGAGTGGCCACTCTATGACACCTGACCTCTTAGTCTAGGTGACTTCTTTTCTAGAGCAGTCATTTTTCCCAGACCAAGAGAGATCTTGCCCAATATGGGCCCAATCTAGAAATTATTCCCACCTTCATGTGAGCACCAGGTGGAGAGAATCTTCCTCATGAGTCAAAGCTTTAGATCTTGGCCCTTGGACGATGATCCTTGGACAGAAGATCAGTCTGAAGCTGTCTGTGCCCAGGCGCTGGTTTCTGTCCTCAGAGTAGCAGGCACTGCCTGTTGATGATGGGTCCAAGCGATGAGTGGTACTGTAACTCTCCCAATGAATAGCACGCTCTACTTTCACAGGCAGGAAAGGAAGAAATGAGGCAGGTTTCAGGGTAGCCAATGCCACTTAATTCTTCCATCGAATTTGCTGTGGAAAGAACAAACAATATCCATTTCCACTGACCCCTAGAGAGAGGTAGGGGAATACAACAAAACAAGGCTAACAGCTAGATAATGCAAGAATAAGAATGGAGAGCGAAGTTGAGAATGGTTTTTCTAATATGTGGGGGAGTTTGCTTATTCAAACATGAATCAAACACCCATTCTGTATATTATAAGCTTCATTTAGGGCATTTATTCTGGTTCTGCCCTACTCAAGACTAAGACTCACTAGCTTTAGATAATCCAAGGGTAGGTCCCAAAATATCTAACAGGGAGCTAAGCTCCATATTAACAAAAAGCTCAGCAATTTCCTGCTATGAGAGATGAGCCAGCTGTTGCCCAAATAGCTAAATCTGTTTTACCCACTTATTTCCAACAGGTGCGTCACCCCTGGCCCCAGGAAACTACCATCTGGATGTTCTGAATCTGTAGCAGTTGTTTCCATACTCCCTGGACTAGTACCTCTGACCCGCTATGTTTAATGATTACCAGGGTGCTATGTGAAGTTTCAGCCCCAGGTCCCCAGATTACCACTGGATCATCCCACATCTCAGGAGTAATTTCTGCTATTCAAAGCAGTGCTTCAGATCCTGAGGCCCAGAGGAGATCCTTGTATCCATGATACTCAGCAAACTGTGACCCCATCCAGGCCTTGGGGATATATATTTGATGGTACTATGAGGACCGTCTCCTGGGACTGCTGGAGAGTATGCTGTAGCTGCTCACCGAGCTATTCAGAATGGCATCAATCTTCTCCTCCTCTGCTGATCCTTTATCCACCTTACTCCTGTATGCTAGCAACTGTTGACGGTCCTTCAGGTCCCGGCAAGTCTATACACCAACAGACACAATAAAACCTCCAATCAGCCTTCTCTACGAGGGCGTTTTTCTTTCTGCCACTCCCAACATGGGGCCAAGGTTCAAGGAGAGGCTGAGGGGCTATAGTGGGATGACAGTGGGGTCAAACACCTACAGAACTTCTTATTGAAGAGAAATCTACTGAGCTTATGTGGCTGGATTCAGTTCTGTGAATTCCGTTAAGTGCAGCAAACTTATAAAAGCAAAGAGGTTATCAAAGGGCTGGGAAAATAATACAGGAGAACTCGTACCAAACTAATTCTTGCCAGAATATTTTGTCTATTAAGTTGAAATTGAAAGCACCTCAGGATCTAAGACAGAGAATATAATAATTCCCCATTCTCCAGTAAGGGTCTGACTCAGGGTTCTCATTTCTTAGGGACTCACATCAATGACGACATCATGGCACTTGAACTTGGTGGCTAAGTTCAACTTTGTGTCCACATCTTCCACCAAATTAACATACTCTTGTAGTATCTATGGGAAAAGGTACTTCTGATTAATGACTCCCAGACCCATAAAACAAAGAGCTCTAAAAGGAAGACAACAAAAATCCTGAGGAAGGCAAGAGTTCCATATCTGATTTCTACCATTCCCATGATTAACCATAGAACTAGTCCTGCAATGGGGAGTGAGGTAGACTATACGCAGTACTTCCACGCTTGCCCAGGGGAGATGGGAAGAGCACACTCCGCCTTACCCTACAGCTAGATACGCAGGCGAACAGGTGTTCTAGATCTGACCTGGTGCTATGCTCATTGCTCCTTGATGTCCTTTCTCACTGAGCTCTCCTTTTGTATCATTTGAATAATATGTCAGTGCTCCACATGGGCTAAACAGAGTAGATGTTCCTCAAAGAGGGGCAGTCTGGGATTACTTCTAAAGGGGAGAGGAGAACTTCTCTCCTTCGCCTTTTCTATCTCAAGGTCCACTACCACCATTATGTTATCTTTAAGATAAGACCAGAGCAGGTCTCAAGTCTCCCATCACTGACCAGTAAGAGGTTAAAAGTTAGGCCTCCTAGAGGATCCTGTACCCAACACTCTTTGGGGGCCCTTACCTGGACAGGGGCACTATTCTTGTGCAAAATTTCCACAACCCGATGGAAGCCAATGGGTGCTCTCTTCTTAGTGTAGCCCAGCCAGTTCTGAAAAGGGAAGACGGGGCAGCAGTAGCTAGGCAAGACAGACTCAACACATTTTGTGACTATTCATTTTAGGTTTAGAATAACATGGTGGTGAGTATGGATGGATGGGAGGTGGGAGATAGAGAAGTGAAGAGAGAGGAGTTTTTCAGAAAAGTCAAGGAATTTAAGAGGGTGGAAAAAGAGCCAAAGAGGGGCGCCTGGGTGGCTCAGTCATTAGGCATCTGCCTTCAGCTCAGGTCATGATCCTAGGGTCCTGGGACTGAACCCCGCAACGGGCTCCCTGCTCAGCAGGAAGCCTGCTTCTCCCTCTCCCACTCCCCCCTGCTTGTGTTCCCTCTCTTGCTGTGTCTGTCAAATAAATAAATAAAAAATCTTAAAAAAAAAAAAAAAGCCAAAGCTATGAAATAAGTTCTTAGATCTACAGGCAGAAAAAAGTCTGTGAAATATGGCTAAATGAAATAAACAATTTACTTCATAATACTTGTAGTATGAACTTATCCAGGTAGAAAAAACCCTATCCTCTGTGTTTATATTCATATAAGGGTATTTGTAAATTCATGAGGGAAAGTCTGGAAAACTACCCATCAAACTTTTAAGATTATTTGCCTTGCAGAAGGGACTGAGATAGGAGCATGTAGACAATGGAGGAGGAACTTCACGTAATCTGACCGTCGTGCTCTCATATAGTGTTTGATTTTGACCAGACATGTATTGCTTTGTAGGCAATGTAACTAATTAAATAACTAACAACAATAACCACCACCAAAAGGGGGGGGCACCTGGTGGGCTCAGTAGGTGGGACATGCAACTCTTGATCTCAGGGTCATGGGTTTGAGCCCCACATTGGGTATGTGGCAATCACTTAAGAATAAAATCTTAAAAAAACAAAAACCCAAACAACAAGAAAACAACAACAAAAACCTAACAGATGGGAACAACAGAAAATTCTCAAATCCATTATAGAAAAAAGGATATTGAAAATATAAACAGAGACATGACAACCAAAGTAATGCAAGATCCTTGACTGGATCCTGACAGCAAACAAACACAAAAAGAAACAAAAAGCTCTAAAGAGTGGATTTGAAATCAGACTATAAATATGATATAATATTGTTAAATATCCTAAAAATGATAATAATACTGTGGTTATAAATGAAATAAATGCTTAAGTATTCAAAGGAGAAGTGTCATGTGGTCTGCAACTTACTTTCAAATGGTTCAGCGAAAGAAAAAAGAGAAAGCAAATATGGCAAAAATGTTGATAAATTAGTGAAATAAGACTTTTAGTATGTTTATTATACTATTCTCTCAACTTTTCTTCTGGTTTGACATTTTGGAAAACAAAAAGTTGGAGGAAAAATGTAAACCAGTAACTAGAATGGGAGATCCCCACGAGGCCTGGGGTAACACGATGGTATGTCCAAGGCTCCAGCAGCACCAGACAGTCTCCAGGCACCCACCTTTGTGGTAAAGAGGGCATCGACATCATGCCAGGCTCGAAGCTTGGCGCGGGCAGCCAGGGCCGTCAGCACATACTGTTTGTCTGGGATCTAAAAAGCAGAGACCAGGGGAATTAAGGGAGAGTAGAAATGCATCAGGGGAGAATTCTGGAAAAGATAGGCAAAAATATTCCCTGATGTTGATTCTGTCCCTTAAAATGTACAAATCTCTCAAGTCATCAAGAACCTCTTCATTCCCAAGCCCCAGCACTGCTGCAGGCCATTCCGTTGAAGTCTTCTCTCACTTCCCACACACTCATTCCTTTCTACCTTTAATCGTGACCATCAAGGGACTTCCTGTACAGGGTGACCAAGCAACATCCATTCCATACAGTTACTCTGATACTACTTTACCAAACACTGACCAATTTATATCTACCTTAAATGTCTTCTTCAGGTTGACTGGACTGCTGAACGTCCCCTAGGATGAAAGTGGAGAAGGAATTTTTTTTTTTTTAAAGATTTTATTTATTTATTTGACAGAGAGACACAGCGAGAGAGGGAACACAAGCAGGGGGAGTGGGAGAGGGAGAAGCAGGCTTCCCGCGCAGCAGGGAGCTCAATGCAGGGCTCAATTCCAGGACCCTGGCATCATGACCCAAGCCGAAGGCAGACGCTTAACAACTGAGCCACCCAGGCGCCCCGTGGAGAAGGAATTTTACTGTTACCGACTTTCCCAAATACCATCCAATCTAACATTTTCTTTCTACTACCTAGACATTGTACATTTCTCTCCGTAGCCATTTAAACCCAGAAGTTAACGGAAGAGAAAAACTCCACCAGATCCAACTGGATATCATCACAACTTGGCTAAACAAGACCGGATTAATGGGTATGGTGTATTTCTCAATTTTATGCCAATCTTGTGATCATTATGATCATTCCCACCTATGATCATTAAACTCGAACCTCTTCAGAAAAACATTTTTTTTTAAGTACCCACAAATACTTCACACCCCGCTGCTCTTCTTTATACCATGTGAGTCCATCTGAAATTACGGACCTTTGAGCAGGGGCTGCTGTGGGACCAGCACTGGTGAGACCGAATGTCCTATGCTAGCATGCCAGCTCACTGGAAGCCACACAAGCCCTTTCAAACCTCTTTTTCCCCCTTGGCTCACCCCTTCTGAGGGCCAGGGAAGCTTCCAGATGGACCTCCCCAAGAACTATACACACCCATTGTTAAGAGCACACTGAAATAACTGGCTTCAAACTATATTCTCTTGTGTGGTGAGAGTGTGTGGGGTCTTTCACACTTTGCCTATACCTCAGCCTCCGTGTAATGGTAGAAGCACGAGTAGAAAAGCGTTGTCACTAATGGCATGTTGAGGATAGAAGCTTTGCGGGGGTGCTTCCGAAAGATCTCAGTCTGTCCTGCTGATTCTAGATGTCGATCATTTGCCTGTGGTGGAGTGAAACAAGTGAAAAAACAACAATATCCACAAAGTAGAGGCAGGACAGAAACATTAAATACTACAGCAGCTGTGCTTCCTATCCTAGGAAGGAGGCAAAGAAAAGAGAAAGAAAGAAACTGCCCAGGATAACCCAGGGGAGTTTAAAATCCATAAAATGATGACAGATCCACGTTGAATGGAGGAAGACTAGAGAAGTAAGGATGAAATGGGAGTTCTGGGAGAGAAAACACTTCCAGGTTAACAGCAAGAAAAAGGATGCCTGAGAACAATGAGGGGGAAAGGGCTACCATGGAAAGAGGAAATGAAAGGCTCTTAGAGAATGTAACAGGAAATGACATATACAGCAGAGCACAGAGGTCTCCTAGATGCTGAATGGCACTGAGCACCAGCATTGAAGCAGAAAATGTAGAGACAAGGAGTCTAACCTCAATAATGATTTGGCGTTCCAGGAGGGTGTAATGGTCTTGAATATGTGCAGAATCTTCTGCTGAAAATGGCAAACTGGTAAAGAGCCAGAAGGTTAGTACCTCTTTCTCTACCAAAACAAGAAACAAACCCAACTAAATCAAATCACCACCGTAAGCATAAGAGGCTCACGGCACTTCACAAATCTGATCTCAGTGCACCTTTAGAGCATCCCTGAAAGGCAGAGAGAGAGAAAGCAGAAAACAGAATAGACCTTTGGCTGGGATTCTGTATTTTAGGTTTTGCCAATTCAAGAGGGATCCCGAGGGGTGCCTGGCTGGCTCAGTCAGTAGTGTGTGCAACTCTTGATCTCGGGGTTGTCAGTTCCAGCCCTCTGTTGGGTGCAGAGATTACTTTAAAAAACATAAAATCTTAAAAAAAAAGAAGAGGGATCCTGAAAGTCCACAAAATATATAGTCATCAGTGGTTTTGCTGAGGAATGAGTTAGAAACCTCTCACTGTGGGAGCTGGAATGTTTAGCAAATGAGTCACTTAGTGAATGAGCGAGGCTAGCCGACTGCCCATCACCCACATCCCAGTGAAGCCCTGTGGTTCCTGTCCTGCCTTAATGTCAATGCTTAACTCTCCTTAAGGGGTGCTTACAATTGTTAGCCATTTCCTGTTGCAGAGGAATAAGGTAAAATTAAATTACCCGGCATGGTGGTACGTGTATAGGCTGATAAAGATCTCAGACATCTACACAGATACCAAGGGTCCCATCTTCAACACTACATTTTACACATGAAAAAGTTGAGGGACAAACAGAATCTTGCCTGAAAGTCATACGTGGTAAACCAAGAGGTAAGGCCAGGAACAGAAGCCAGATTTTAAGCTTCCAGTTCACAGATGTCTCCTTTAGAAAGTGCTGCCTTAGTCCTGTACTCCACTTACTCCCGGAAGAATTCTGAAACTCAGTTACACTATCCCAGGTAAGTGTGAGCCACAGCCAATTTTTAGAAAAGATAAAGGGAGACAGCAATAGGTTTCAGTTACTTCACTATTCTAACTCTTCTCTTTGTTCACCAGAGGCCACTATGACATAGTTCAGTATCTGGTAACATTAAAACTAAGGATTGCACAAAGACGAATTTCTAAATGTGAATCCTGGAACTCCTATCCCATGAGGAATGACTAAAGCAACTGTGAATACTGAACCGGGATTAAGACCTACTGTGTAGACTCTATGCCTATCTTGAAAGATAGAAGGAAGCAAGTTTCAGCTCAATAAGTATTTAACGATAATGAAGGTTGTCCAACAATAGAATAAGCTACTTCCTTCCAATTTTAGTATATGTGCTGCCGAAGCAAGCACTAGAATAAGCTACTTCCAAGAGCAGTGAGTGCTCATCACTGGAAGAGTAGTATGTGGGGCTGGTTTTTATAGGGACTTATATCCTGGATGAACACCTATACTGAATCAGTGGTTCTTGTGCTCTGCGGTCTCGGGGACCAGTTAACACTGAAAATAATATGGAAGGTAGTGCTGCCAACCTTTTTATTTTAATATGTAAAGTCAAAAAAAAATTACATCCCATTTTACCCCCAAAAAAGGGAGGGAGAGGAAGAAAAAATAATCCCAGAATAAAAGGCAGTCTTTCAAATTAGATAAATTTAACTGTAGAAAAAAACTCTTTACATTTTCTTTATTTTTCTCAATTTACTACCCATCAGTGAAAACTCTACTGGGGAAGTAATGTCTGGAAGCACTGAATGAGACCATCTTTAATGATGCTTGTATGTCCCACTGTTAGCCTTTCCCTTCAATTACCTATCCACTCCACCCTCATTTAGTCTCTTCAGTTCTCTGTGTAAGAATATTTATACTTTAAAACATTTCTCCCCAATACTTACCCAATGCAGGTCTTAAGAAATTCTTTTCGTTTCTCAGGGTCCTGAATGTTCAAGTGCTCACGATAATGAGACAGCTGCAAAAAAATAAATAAATAAAAGAAAGAAAGGCTTTGAACCATTTTGTCTACTCTGTCTCCTTTGAAGGGTGAAGTGGCTATGTAAGTAGCCTTTCCATCCGTAAAAAACTAAATTCTTCATTATCAGAGATTCCTCTGAGTGGGGACAGGTGTGCAGGTAGGGAGAGGGTAGAGAGTAATTCAAAATTGCTCTTTGGGGACACCTGGCTGGCTCAGTAAGTAGAGCATGGGACACTTGATCTCGGGGTTGTAAGTTCAAGCCCCACACTGGGTGTAGAGATTACTTTAAAAAAGAAAATCTTCAAAATCTTTGGTTTATCTATAACTGCAATATCCAACACTGTAACCACTACCCCCATTTGGTTTACATTTATATTTAAATTAATTAAGTTAAACAATTCAGATCCTTAGTTATATTAGTCATTTTACCATGTGACTAGTGGCTACCATATCCAACAGCACAGATGGAGAATACTGCCATTATCGTAGGAAGCTCTACTGGACAGTGCTAGCCTATAATGAAGCACTGAGTAGTTGAGTACCTAGCTTTACTCCAAAGTTTGGCTTTAGCCTCACTATTTAATTAAAACCAGCTTTTGCTTCAGCCTTAGCCTTTGAAAGGCCAAAGAACTAAATGCTTACTCCAACATTATTTTTGGCACCCTTGACCTTGTACATGATCGATGGTAGCACAATCCTATAAATAGCTAATAATTAAAATCAGTAACATGAATAAGCCATGTCCTCTGATTCACTGCTGACACCTACTGAAGATTCACATTCAAATACTACAGGTTCTACATATAGCTCTGAAAGAAAATCTCCTTATGTGCTTTCTATTTTGGAATTCTAAAAAAAGAACTGAAGTTTAAATCCCCATTTATTATTACAAGAACTAATTGATGCAATAATTAATGATGACTGTAAAAGCTGTGATTTTATGTACAATTATTAAAACTTTCCAAGAACCAGGGAGCCTGGATGGCTCAGTTGGTTAAGCATCTGACTCTCAGTTTTGGCTCAGTTCATAATCTCAGGGTCCTGAGATCGAGCCCTACACTGGGCTCCATGTTCAGCGCAGAGTCTGCTCGTCTCTCTCCCTCGTGCTCGCTTCGGCAGCACATAAACTAAAGTTGTCCCTCTCCCTCTGCTCCTCCTCTTTCTCTCTCATAAATAAAATCTTTAAAAAAAAAAAAAACCTTCCAAGGATTAAAAAATAAACAGATTGACAGTTAATATCAATATTAAGAGAATGAACTGACTTTAGGAAGGACAGTATATCCTTTTAGAAACAAGTGTATAAAAATGTAAATGAAAAGGTCATAATCTAATCTTCATAAAATATCTAGAATATAATCATTCTTAGCATCAAAGAAAGTAATCTTTAAGAGCTATAGTTAATTTTTATTGTTCAATTCCATTTTGGCCTTAAGTCTTTAAACAAAGTCCTACTTAGGTAACCTTCCCATTCTATGAGGATAAACTGAAAGCAGACTACCAACTTTACCAATTCTGAAGTTTATAAGGTTGGAAAACTCTAAATTTATATACAAGAGGATGCATGATAAATCATCTTCAATTCAAAAATAATAGAGAAAGGAAGAAAATAAGAATGTTTTAGAGGAAAATGAGTTACCCAAAACACATTTATTTTCACTAATCAAACTTCAAAAAACAACAAACTTTATAAGAATGCTGTATGAAGAAAATTCCTTACAGTTTCAAATCTATGGAGATTAAAAATGTAAACAAAAAGCGTTTCCAAATGATTGCTACAGACGGCCAGTCATTTTCAGTAGATTATGATAAAGGATTTCTGAGATTTTCCCATGCCTTGAATATTAAGTACAAGTTCCTTTTACAAAATGGTACTGAAAAACATTTTCCTGAATTACATTCTGCTGGGCAAAGGTTAGCAAGATTATTAGACGTGCCAGCTGAATGTGAGCACTGGTCTCACCACAGACGTGCGGTACAGTGAGGCAGTGACTGAAGGAATGAAATGGCAGTGACTGCCACTGATGGTCCTGAGGAATTCTAACCCCTGCACTATAAGGGCAAACTTTTAAAAAGTGGATCACTACAGTTTTAATAATATAATGAAATCTTTGGTACAATTTCAGCTTTATTCTTGTATTCCAGGAGTTTATTCTGTAATGGTGAAAATCTGCCAAGAACCAGTTTTAACACTCAGTCATCGAGCTCTCAGCCAAAATGTGGGTTAGGGGCACCACCAGCTTGACCTATCTTCCTTCTTGACCTATATCTGGTTTCTTATCCCTCTTTTTTTTTTTATTATGTTATGTTAATCACCATACATTACAGCATTAGTTTTTGATATAGTGTTCCATGATCTTATCCCTCTTAACTTACAACATTTTCTAGTATTGGAAGCCAAAACCCAAAAGCTCCTACAAACCAGGATCTGAAAACAACTAGAAACTAAAAAACAAATTACAAATTGACCAGGCCAGTTTTTATTCATTCTTCAAAAAAATATTCATAAGCCCAATCAAAAGAGCATATAAAAAGAAACAGTACATCATTGGGATTAAGTTTTCAGGCTCCCCAGATGCCTTTCTCTTTTGGATGCAATCAATACCAAAGGAAAGGAACTGTTAACTGCTCTGGGATCTTGGAGACTGGGTTTTGGCTTACATTTCTGTTAAACAGGTCCCCAACTGAAACGAAGGCCACACTTACCGCAAGCTCTTCTGTTCTATCTAGGAACCTGGGAAGAAGCAGAAGGGAGCAGGGCATTTTTATCTATTGATGTGTGGCAACGTAACCTCACAAAATAGGATGGCTGCTCTAGGAGAAACATAATTCAAATTCATTTGCCTCCATACATGACTAAGCCCTCCTCTTCTTAAACTTTCTACCACCAGCAACCTCTTGAAAACACATGGTGGGTCAAATATTATTGTTCCCCTGATCGCTCTGGCTGAAAAGCAAGGACAAGAAGGCACTGCAGGACACTAATAACTTTGTAATGTTAACAGGTCTGAGAGAAAGGCTCAGAGCCTCCACAAAACCTTAGTTCACAGTAGTCTTACAGGGATTTTTGGAAAAACTAAAGCACTCTTCTCTGTCAGTACAATCTTGGAAACAGATTTTCTATATTGTTCTCTGCTGTTTTCACGTACAGTGTAGAAAGAGCTTTGTCTCTCTCAATGGTGTAAGGTCTTGGAGAACAAGGACTTTGTTTTCTGATTCCTTCTTATTCTGAATGGACCACTATAATTAAATCACTGCTTTGACCTAGAGGCGATGCTTAATAAATCCTTGTTAATTGGGAAGGAGGGAATTGAGGAAGGGAACAGCCTGCCTAAATGAATATGTCTTCTGCAAATTCCTGGCTAACCATCTCTAATCTTGGCCCTGACCAAGTGATCTGCTTTCCCACCTTTGTCTTTGGGACAGCTCATCACTGTGCTACAGTCACTGGGTAACTGGAGTTTCCTTGGGCCACGTATCAGCCTAAAAGGAGGTTCCAACCCCTTCCCTGGCATTGAAGAAAGGACATAATAGATATACATTTTAATCTACTGGCAGGAAAGTCCCTACTGATTAGAATGAGATAGGGAAGGAAGGAAAACATGGTAGAAGACACGCCCCTGCCCTGGGCCTCCAGTAACTATGCCCACCTCTTACCTCTCCACCTATCAGATTCCTATCTAGTCTCAATTCCTAACCTCTTCCATAAGGCTTTCTTTGGGTACCCTGGCTGAAAATTATATTTGCTTCTTCTGTTCTTCCATTTACTTCCCACTGGCATCACTGGGGACCAAGTAATAAGAGATACCTTCATTCTAGGTCTTTCATAATAAAATGCTTAAAAATATTAGTAATACAGACTAGGCATTACACTAAGTGCTTTTCCCACACTAACTCTTAATCTTCATCACCTGTGGGGTAGGAATCATCATTTCCGTTGTATCGTTGTGGAACTGATGCTAGGAGAGGTTAGGGAACTTGCTCAAGGTCACTTCATGAACTAAGTGGTGGTGCCGGTATTCAAGGCAGGTTATGCTGGACTCCAGGGCCTGGTTCTTAACCACCGGCTACACTACCATTTTATCACTGGCTAAGGTGCATTATTAGTTATCCCCATGTTTCAGTATCTCACCTAACAACAAAAAAGGACAGTGTCTTCTTTGTATCCTCCAGAGAGCTTTGAATATAGTACTTTGTAAACTTTATAGACAAGATGATCAGTTCTTACCTAAAGAGGTCCAAAAGCAGCTTTTGATCCCCTATTTCTTTAAGGAAGTGAATGAGATGTCTCAGGGCAACCTGTCGCACCTCCAGCTCTCGGAAGAGGGTCTCTGGTAGGCAGGAAGGAGTTAGGTGGAGAAAGATTAAAGCCTATTACTCAAGTGTGAAATTGGTCTCCCTCCTCATACATTCCAAACATCTCCTCAAAGTCAATCACAAGCGAGGAATAGCTTTTTGTGGCACCAATTCCTCTGGATCAACCCACCACCAACACATTCCATGGTCCAGGGCAACTCTTGGTCATTCAATCAGCCTTCAGTTTTCACCAACCCAACCAGCAGGCACCTAGCATAGACTGAGGTCCTCAAACCAACACAGCCATCTGTCTGTCTAGTAAACAGGGAGGCTTTGGAGTTAATGTAGTTATCACCCTACAGGATGAACAACCGCCCTCAGAGATGAGAAGAATACTCTGAAGTCTTAGGCCACCCCAGCTGTCTTTGAAGCAGAGCTGATGATGAATTCTGGTAATGGAAGCCACAGTGCCATTCTCCCTTCAAATGCAGCAGGCATCTTGACAACTGAAGATTTCTCTCAGTTCACGCTCACCTTTGCTCAGTGTCCTTTTCAGGAAGATCAGAACCTAGAGGAAAAGAGAACAAAGAATAAGTTATCCTGTGTAACCTACAAACACAAAGCCCTGCCCTGAGCTCCTGATGTGTAGCAATGAGGTCAGTGACTCATTAGGAATCTTGGCACATCCAGACAACAGATTTTTCTATGGGATAGAAGGACTGGTGATAGACATGTGGAATTGAGCTGTGTCTCAGAGGAGTTCACCCGCCCATTCCCATACTGGCAAGAGATACCTCCCTCTGGGAGAGACCGCTCTCATGCCTCTCCTGCCTCAGACTGCAGGATTGTTGTTTTTATTTTTTTAAAGATTTATTTATTTGAGAGAGAGCACCTGTGCACGTGCACTTACGTGCATGCACACAGCAGGGAGAGAAGCAGAGAGAGAATCTCAAGCAGACTCCCTGCTGAGCGCAGAGCCCCATGCAGGGCTCGATCTCACGACCCTGAGATTATGACCTGAACTGAAATCAAGAGTGGGTCACTCAACCGACTAAGCCACCCATGCGCCCCTCGGATTACTTTTTAGAACAGAGTAGCCAACCTGCTGCTTCTTGATTATAATCAAGAGTTCCACATCCGATGCATTTCCTGCCAGCCGAGCCTCAGAGCAGGTATTACTGAGGATCCTACACTTTAAGAGGAATCCAGGATCTCTACTAGACATTTAACCTAAAATGTTAAAGTCCTATTCTGATCGGGCTTCGAGAAACTAACAAGAACAATTAAGCAAACGACAAAGCCCACCACTTACTGCAGTAATGACGTTTCCATCGTGCACGCTGACTGCTTCCTCCAGGAGTCGTAGCTTGTCCTGTAAGGAGCGGAATCGTTCTAGAGAGCAGACCTGGCAGAACAAGAGCAGAGTTAGTGTGCAAGGAAGTCTGCATGTCCTGATGGAGTCCTGCCGCAGCCAAAGGCTGGAGATCACTCATTCTCTTTAAAATGACGTATAACTGACATACAATAAAATCTAAAGGGTAGAGTTCAGCGAGTTTGACAAGTACGTATAAAATTCCATCTAACTGTTACCACCATCAAGATACAGAACAACTCCATCAGGCCAAAAAGTTCCCTCGTGGGCTCTGATGTCAACGCCCCCCTTCCATCCCTAACTCCTGGCAGCCACTCATCTTTCAGTCACTGAAGTTTTCTCTTTTCCTGAATTTCACAAATAGAATCATACAATATGTACTCTTTTACATCTGACTTCTTTCACTCAATATCACATTTCTCAGAGGAATCTATATGTTGTGCTGAGTACTACTAGTTTGTTCCTATTCACTGGTAAGTAGTTTTCATTGTATGGATAGATCACCATTTATCTACTGAAGGATATTTGGGTTATTTCCATTTTGGGGGCTATTATGAAGAGAGCTGTTGTGAAAATCTGTGTTGTCTTTTTTTTTTTTTTTTAAGATTTTATTTGAGAGAGAGAAAGCGCGTACATGCGAAAGTGGGCACACGGCGGGGCGGGGGGCGGCGCAGAGTGGGAGGGACAAGGAGGCTCTGCACAGAGCGCAAGCCCAACACAGGGCTCAATCCCAGGACACTGAGATCACGATCTGAGCTGAAACCAAAAGTCAGACACTCAACCTGCTGAGCCACCCAGCTGCCCCCGTGTATAAGACTTTGAGCGTATGTTTTCAATTATCTTGGATTGTAAATGTCTAGCAATAAAATTAAGTATACGTTTAACTTTGTAAGAAGCTGCCAGACCGTTTTCCAGAGTAGTTTTAACATTTCACTTTCTCGCTCTCCCTGTATGAGAGAGCTCTAGCTCCTTCACAGCCTCCCAGTGCTTGGTATTATCAGTATTTTCAAATTTAGCCACTCTAGTGGCTGTACAGTAGTATCTCACAGTTTTAATTCACATTTTCTTGATAACTGTTGATGTGGAAGATCTTCTCAAGCGCTCTTTGGCCATTCATGTAACTTTTTTCTGATATAACTGAAATCTTCCACCAAGTTTCTTTTTGGGTTGTTTATCTTCTTATGAAAGATAATCATTGTCCTTTATATAGTCTGAATAAAAGTCCTTTACAGTATATGAATTTTGCAAATATTTTCTCCCAGCCATGGTGGTTTTTCCCCCACAAGAACTCTCTCTCCGGTGACCTTACCTTGCCCTTCCGGAGGCGCCACACTGTGTCACTGGGGCTCCAGTCATTGCTGTAATCCTGGAATGTTAACAATACATGAATCTCAGGAAGTTAAGGGATCAGAATTATCAGTGTGCCAGCTCCTCACCTGAAACTCATCTTTATTCCCCGATAGGGAAATATTTTGTGGGAGGAGGAAATGAATGGAAAAAAAAATGAAGAGCAGGGATAGTCTTGTTCTGAGTTTCTGAAGGAATTAGAACAGGGACAATGAAGGCAAGAAGAGATGGATCAAAGAGGGAAAGAACCAACTGACAAAACCCTATGGCTACTGGTTCAGGATTTCATTCACTAGACATAATCAGTCACGTTTTGGGATTCTAATGAATGGCTTTGCAGACAGAAGGAAAGAGGGAGACATGTTCCTCTTCTGGAGCTTATAATAGTTTCCTCCTTATGGATCAATTTGCTTTGTTATGTGCTATCTTGGGAATATGAGCTCCACCAAGCTTCCAGACCACAGTGATGATCAAAAGTTTCAAAGTACAACCTCCAAAAGGCAGTATAATGGGTAAGGAAAGTGTACTAAGACAGAATCAGAAAACAGATTGTGAGTCCCAGTTCCACCACTTAATAGCTATGAGACCCAAGGCAAGCCCTGATGTTTAGATACCCAGTTTTCTTATCTACAAAAAAGTTAAAATAATAGCTGTTCAAAAAGTTGGAAGTATCAAGCAAGATAATGTACATCAAAGCACTTGGAACTCTGTAAAGTGTCACACCAGTGTAAGATATAACTCACCCTGTATTCCCCCTTGGGTCTGCCCAGCTCTGGAGCATAGCTTTTGGCAGGTACGTCCGACAGAGCTGAAAAAGAACAGGCAGCTGGTTCAGAAGGACACCATCTTCAGGTCAATCCTTTCCTCTACTGCTTCCTTCTCACACACATTTTTTTGACTTGTGAGGTCCCAAGGCATCTGAGACATCTTTATGGCCCAAAGTAGATCTTAGCTCCTCCCCAAAGACAGCATCCCTAGAAGTCACCCCTTGTTCCCATAGCCAGAATGATCTTGACCTCCTTATTCAGTAACAGAAAATTTCTCTAATAATGGTGGTAGATTCAGGAGAAATTTCATCTAATTACCACCTAGCCCCATGACTCCCCAGACTGTATTCCATATCAGTAATATCTCCCACAGCAATCAAGAGCAGAGGGTCAATGCTTACCATCAGAAAGGGACTGGAAACTTCCAGGTCTAGTTCTCCCTGAAGGTAAAGAATATATAAGGGAAGAGATCAATAGTTCAAGTCAGAGCCATTTCAGACTTTGTTAAGGATGCAGTATGTATAGAACCTTTTTATGCAACATGGGAACTCAGGCTTAAAAAAACCTCCATTCAACTTCAGAAATCTGAGGTGCCATGAAAAACACAGGGTGGAAAATTTTTTAAATTGTGGTAAAATATACGTGACATAAACTTTAGCATTTTTCACCATTCTTAAATGTACAGTTCAGTGGCACTGAGTATATTCACACTGCATAACTATCACCACTATCCATATCCAGAACTTTCTCATCATCCCAAACTGAGACTCTCTACCCATTAAACAATAGCTCCCCTTGCCTCCTTATACCTCCAGGCCCTGGTAACCACTATTTTACTGTCTTTCTGAACCTGAGTATACTAGGTATCTTACAGAAATGGAATCATACAGTATCTGTCCTTGTATGTCTGGCTGATTTTTTTTTTAAGGAACTGCCATACTGTGCTCCACAGTGGCTGTACCATTTTACATCCCCACTGGCAGTGCACAAGGGTTCCCAACAGCAATGCATAGGGGTAGGCAGGAATGCTGACCTTAGCAAATTTCTTCAGTACTTGCCACAGAACTAATGTCAGTTTTGTTCATCATGTTCCTGAAACCCAGTCCCATCCCTCTGAATTTCTCTCATTTCTCCCACTTCTAATCCCTAACTGCCAGCTCCAAAGATAATTCTTTAGCCTTCAATAATTTTTTTCTTCCAGAGTAAATGAAAATTATATCCTGAGTGGTTTTTTGGAAAGAGAAAAGGAGGGCCCTCTGTCCCTTTAACCATCACTCTTTACCTCTAAAAAAGCTGCTCAGGGAGTAGGTAGAAGTAGGTTTGGGTAGTTGTGCGTAGGTGGAGAAGCTGTTCCGACTCTTTAGCTGTTCACGCCCCTCCTGGCTTGACCCACTATTACCAGCAGTCTCTTTGATGGACCATGAGATACCTGTGAAATAGTAAGAACTAAATCAGTGATTCTCATCCAAGATAATCCTTGAAATCCAGCACTCTGATAAACACTAAAAGTTTTTCACCAGAGGCCCTGGTCCCTTATTAACATGGACTTAAAAAATTGGGGCAGGGAGAAAGGATAAAATCAGATAGACTAATCAACAGAAAGAGGAGCAAAGGAAATTAATAAATGGATCACAGAAAAGGAAATTCAAGTGGCTATTAAACATATGAAAACATGCTCAATCTCACACTTAATAAGAGTATTACACAAAGTACACTGAGATACCACTGGCCCCTCCAAGACTGGCAAAGATCCAAAGTCTGATAATACTCTGTTGGCAAGGCTGTGGGGAAAGAGGAACACTCGAACATTGCTGGTGGGAGTACACTGGTGCAACCCCTGTGGAGAACAATCTGGCAACGTGTACCCCATACAGATGCAAATACCCTCTGCCAGTGATTCTACTCTAAAAACTGATCTTTCATGTATTCATATTGGGCAGGAAATAAGGTTACTGATAGCAGTATAAACAAGGAAAGATTGAAAATCATCTGAAGTTCATCAAAAGTGGACTGGTTAGGGGCGCCTGCGTGGCTCAGTCAGTTAAGCGTCTGCCTTCGGCTCAGGTCATGATCCCGGGGTCCTGGGATTGAGCCCCACATCGGGCTCCCTGCTCAGGGGGGGAGCCTGCTTCTCCCTCTGCCTCTGCCATTGCCCCTGCTTGTGCTCTCTCTGCCAAAGGAATAAATAAAATCTTAAAAAAAAAAAAAGTGGACAGGTTAAAGAAGTTATGGAAAATCCATATAATGTAATCCTATGTTGCTGTTTTCAGAGAGAGAGAGTGAGAAACTTCTTTATGTACTGATATAGAAAGACCTCCAAGCTATATTGCCAAGTGAAAAGAATAGGGTATAAAGTATGCTACCATTGGTGTAAAAAAGGGAATAAGAAAATATATTCCTATATGCATTTCCAAATGTAGAAAGAATCTTTAGTTGAACACACAAGAAGCAAACAACAGCAGTGTTCTGAGATAGAAGAAACTGAGAATAGTAGATGCATGATAGTGTGGGAGGGAAACTTTACACTGTATGCCTAAAATACTTGATTTTCAAATCCTGATGGTATTTCCTATACTAAGAAAATTTTTTAAAATATTCTTAAGAATCAGATGGACTGGGCAAAAGTGTTAAGCTAGACAGTGAGGCCTGGTGGCTAAGGAAGTCAGTCCTGCCAGCCAGTTATGAGCAATTAAGCTAGCAGTTCCAAATATGACTGAATATTAGAAGCACCTGCAGTATCTATTATAAATTAAGACTCCCCACCCCCACCCCCACCCCCGAGACCTACTGAATCAGTTTCTGGAGTAAAGCCTAGGAACCTAACTTTAACAAGCACCCCAAAATGAGTCTGAAATAGCCAGCCAAGCATTAGCCCCAGGATGGCAGACCTAGAGAGCCATATGGGAACCACTGCTGTTATTTCCTCAGGTTTCTTCTGGGGTTAAATTTCCAAATGTACGCTCATCTAAAAATAGTCTACCCTCATTCCCCTTCCTAACAAGCACTGAGGAGACAAGCAAGCGGAGCCTTCATTAGTGACAAGAACCTGAATATCAATCCCTTCCTACAGCCTCCTCTACTTACTTCCCACAGGTTCCCCACTCCAGCTGACTCTCTCCAGGTCATCGTCATCCTCATCATCCACGAAGTCGCGAAGACTATTCACTGCTCTCTTGGATTCCTTTAACTGCAGAGGGACATAAGGCAGGGCACTCAGGCAATCACTACTTCCACCTCTCTCTCTGACAACCAAGAAGGCTGAGCAATTGGGACTTAAGATGGCCAAAACTTTCACCCTCTGCAATCGAAAGCCTAGCCTGCTAGATATTTGCCAAGAGAACAAATTGCTTTTTAGCCAACACTGAAGTCCAGTGGCAAGAGTTAGAAGGAATTAAAGCTGCTTTTAAGTTCTAATCATATACCTGGCAATGACTTGCTGTGTGAACCTGGGTGAGTTTATCCATCTCTCCAAAAATAAATCCATTTCCCCATTTGTAAAATAGATGCAAAAAGACAACATCCAATCCAGTTCATCATTCAAAAATAACAAATTACATCACATGATAAAAGACTTGGGATTCTGAGGGAAAAAAAGAAACTGAAATCACCCTAAGAATAAAAGTAAGAAGGGCAGAGAGTTGGTTTTTCAATCCCTCTGGCTCTTTTTTGAGGGCTCTTCTCTATGAACATTTTTCTAAAGATCTAACCCAAAACATTTCCGAGCCTAATGGAGACAGAGTCAAAAGCCAGGTTACCAAGGATGTGAGGGGAAAAAATTTTAGAATGGCACTGTGGAGGAGGTGTGACCTGCAGCAATTGTTCATGAAAACTTACCTGTGAGAGCTCATCATCTTCATCATCAAAGGTGAAAGCCTTGAACTTGGAGCTGTTCCAATATTCCTCCTCATCACCCTTTGTCCGATTCATCTGGAGTAAGAGTAAGACAGATGTATGTCCCTCCCTGGATTGCTTCCAAAAGAGTGCCAAAAGCTTTAGATTCCTTCACTGCAAACTCTCCCTCCCACCCCACCCTGCAGTTACTGGAGATGTTTAAAAGAATTTGAGAAAGGAAATACTGAATCTGTCACGTCAAATCAGATCGTTAGAAGTCTCCAACTGATCAAACCATACTTCTGATCCTTTAATTACCCACAAGTAGTCATTCATTCTTAGAACACCTACTTTGTTCAAGGCACTCTCTCAGGTGTTGAGGGGATATTTACAAAGTGCAAGACACAGTCCCTCTTCTGAAGAACCCTACAACAGAACTGGGTATTCAGCATTGATACATATAAAGGTAACAGTACAAGAGTTATAAAAATGCATCACAAATTTTGCTGAATACACAAGATCAAAGTATCAACAAAACAGATAAAAACTGCATTCATGTACTGTTCAACATATATCTTTTATTGAGTGCCATCTTTGAGGCACTGTTCTAGGCTCTGTGAATACTACAGTGAATAAAACTGGCAAATATCTTGCTCTCATATATGCTTGCTAAATGCCAGAAGAAAGAAAGCAAAGATTAAATGATGCAGAATTGGGCGCCTGGGTGGCTCAGTCGTTAAGCGTCTGCCTTCGGCTCAGGTCATGGTCTTAGGGTCCTGGGATCGAGTCCCACATCGGGCTCCCTGCTCCGCGAGAGGCCTGCTTCTCCCTCTCCCACTCCCCCCTGCTTGTGTTCCTGCTCTCGCTGTCTCTGTCTCTGTCAAATAGATAAATAAAATCTTTAAAAAATAAATAAATAAAATAAAAATAAATAAATAAATAAATGAAGCAGAATTATCCTGCCTGTATCTTCAAATTATGAGTAATTTACCAAAAAGTACTGGCCAAAATTTAGGAACTGAGGGTGTGGCTAAGAAAAGTATAATAAGAATCAGTCAAAACACAACAAGTCCCTCTCATAATTCTAAAATTAGTTTTCAGGACAACCCTCTCAGGTCCCCTCCCTCTTTGGGAGCTTTGTACTATCACTCAATAAACCTTACTATAAAAAAAATTAGATTTCACTCTGAAAAAAATGTTTTGCCCTAGAATTACAAACTTAATTATCAATGCCAACTGGATAGAGTTGAAAACTGATTTAAACTAAGAACTAGTTACCAAAACACCCAAAGCAACAAAAATAACTCCAAAGGCTACACATCAAATTCTAAAGAATCAATTTGCTTTTCCTTTTATTTCAATAGTACCTTCACAACAGAAGCTTGAGATAGACTCATCATGGCAGCCCTGTTGAAGCTTCTTTTTTAATTGTGTTTTTTTCCCTTAGGATTGAATTGTAAGAATTCTTTTTTTAAAAAAAAAGATTTTATTTATTTATTTTAAAAGAGAGAGAGTGCATGTGCGCAAAAGAACATGAGTAGGGGGGAAGGGCAAAGGAAATCTCAAGCAGACTCTGCACTGAGTGTGGAGTCTGATGTGGGACTTGATCTCATGATCCTGAAATCATGACCTAAACCAAAATTATGAGTCAGTCGCTTAATCAACTGAGCCACCCAGGTGGCCCTGTTGAAGCTTCTGAAGGCCCTTAACATACTCTACAGATATTCCTCAACTTACAATGGGGTTAACATCTGGATAAACCCAACGTAAGTCGAAAATAGTAAGTTGAAAATGCTAAACGGCATAGCTTAGCCTAGCCTACCTTAAATGTGCTCAGAACACTTACATTAGCTTCAGTTGGGCAAAATCATCTAACACAACGCCTATTTTATAAAAAGTGTTGGATTATCTCATGTAATTTATTGACTGCTGTACTGAAAGTGAAAAACAATGATTGTGTGGGTGCAGAATAGTTTAAATATATCAGTTGTTCACCCTTGTGATCATGTGGCTGACTGGGAGCTGGGGCTCACTGCCACTGCCCAGCATCAAAAGACTATCATGCTGTATACCGCCAGCCCAGGAAAAGATCCAAATTCAAAATTCAAACTAGTTTCTACTGAATGTATATCACTTTTGGGATACCTGGGTGGCTTAGTCGGTTAACGGTCCGACTCTTGATCTCAGCTCAGGTCTCGATCTCAGGGTCATGAGTTCAGGCCCCGTGCTGGGCTCCACACTGGGTGTGTAGCCCACTTAAAAAAAATATATATATATATATATATAAATGTGTATCACTTTTACACCATCATAAAGTTGAAAAATTTTAAGTTGAATCATTGTAAGCCAAGGAATCATCTGTACTCGCACTTCCTGATTCTTGTGTTTTCAGGGGATACAGGAATTGCAAAGGTATGGTGGGAATTTTCTACTATCTGATCCCTTCCCATGGCAGACATCACTAACTGATTTCTACTGAACCCAGATGTAACTTAAAAATCCTTCTGTATATTTAAAGCTAAATAAAGCTGGCAGATACAATGAAATCATCCCTCATGGTGGTACAAGCACAAGCTTTATAGTAGGCAGCTTTGAATTCAAATCTTGGTTTCTCAATTCTGAGCAAACTGGTTAAATAATTTTACGTCTAGGCCTTGGTGAAAATGATACCCTACTTCACAGGATTGCAGTGAAGAAGAAATAGGACTCAGGAAACACCTAGCAGAAAGTACATACTAAAAGTCAATTCTTGGGGCGCCTGGGTGGCTCAGTCGTTAAGCGTCTGCCTTCAGCTCAAGTCATGATCTCAGGGTCCTGGAATCGAGCCCCACATCGGGCTCCCTGCTCTGCAGGAGGCCTGCTTCTCCCTCTCCCACTCCCCCTGCTTGTGTTCCCTCTCGTTGTCTCTCTCTGTCAAATAAATAAATAAAATCTTTAAAAAAAATAAAATAAAGGTCAATTCTTTTTAGTACAGGATATTTTACTGACACCTTTCCATCTTGGTTTCCTTATCTGTAAAATGGGCATAACAATAGATACCTAACTTACAAAATTGTTGTGAGGCTTAAACTAGTTAATACTTATAGAGCACTTAGTGCCTGACACAAAATTAATGCTCAGTATTACTTTTTATTAACAAAGCATCATGGTAACTTGGAAAAAGCTAGAAAAAAAATATTTTTTAAGCAATCCTGAATTTTTAAAACAACTAATTTGACACAAAAATGCTGAGAATTGCTCTCACAAACACTGAAGACTTGCGTAGAGCATGTAAACGTCCCTGGCACAGATACCAACTTACAGAGCACTCTGTCATCCTCACAACAGCTCTGTAAGGTAGGCCTGGTAGATTTCATCTCTATTTCACTGACGAGGAAAATGAGGCACAAAAGGATTAGGTACCCAAACCACTTTGCTAATTGCTCCTATAATCCAGGTTTTCAGGCTCCTGGATCCTTTCCACTCTGACATGCAGGGTCCTTCTCTGTTTCACTCTAGGGAAAACCAAGGCAGGTCCTTACTTCCCTGCAGTAAATAAGTATCTGTAAATATCTACCAACAAGCATAGCATATGTCCAAGAAGCCCAGTAATCCACCAGTGGGTTTCTGGAATCTTTTTTAACCATGCAACCGCAGTGGATACTTGACACCAGTTTGTACTTCTAAAGCCAAATCAGAGCCTAGATTTACCTGCCAAGGAAAGAGATAAAGTTAATTTAACGTCTCTAGAAGTTACACCAACCAGGTACGATTTTAAGGGTGACTGAAAAAGGTGCTTCAACATGATTTCAAATACAGCAGAGGCTTGTCCCTATCGTCACCTGTTCACTGAGGGCCCACAAGACAGGGCAACAAATCCAAGGAACATTAACAAAGGAAAGGAAAACGGACATCAGCAAAAAAAAAAAAAAAAAAAAAAATCCACAACCAACACGCCCCCTGCTTCAGAACGCTTCACAAACCAGCTACCGAGAAGTTAGATTCAGATTCAATTATCATCTTCGGAGCCAGGCTTATTACAGGTGAAGCTATGAACTAAGACCAGGGAATGTGGGTTAACCGAAGAAGAAGACTCTACGGGCGAACGTCCAGGAAGCCATGGATCTACTGCAGTCGCCAGAGCCCGGCGGATCGCTGGCAGAGTAAATGCTCCTTCAAAATCAAATGTCGAGGTTCACTTACAGCCCCAACCCCGAGCGTACTCGGGCCCCCGGCATACTCGGTCGCTCCGACTGCTAGAGTCGGGCCTGGGGGATCTAGGGACGCCTCAGAGAATAGGGGGAAAAGATGTTTGCGGAGAGGCTGGAATCAGCCACACACGCGGCCCACACGGCTTGGGACACCCTCACCTCTTCCACACCGAGCCCACCCTTTCAGGACAGCGTCAGACTCTTCCGCCGCTGGACCACCCTTTCTAGTCAGGCTAAGCGGCGTAGAAAATGGGCGGAAGCTTATTCGAGGAGTGGGGCGGAAGGAGGGAATGTGAGTCAAGAAGGGAGCCGCAGGGCATGCTGGAAATTGTAGCCTTTTCGCCTCCGCGGTCAAGCGTGTTCTGGACGGGACACAGAACTCCTTGACTACAGCTCCCAGAACTCCCAGCACACCGCGCCTACGTCGTTTCCTTTACTTTTAGCGCGACCTTCCGAGGTTATCCCGCAGGTTACTCAACAAGACTACAATTCCCATGAGGCTCGGCAGGGCCAATTCGGAGGCTAGGGAAACAATGAGACGTACTGTTTGTGGCCTTACGGGTGATGAATGGTTGTATGAGCGGTTGCATTTCGGGCCGCTTTAGGGATAACCCGAGGAAGCCTGAAGGAACTCTAGAAGAGACATAAGCTAAGGTCCGACGAGGTGGAACGGAAGTACCTGGTGAGAGTGAGGAGGAGCCGGAAGTTAAGGCGGGGAGGGGCGGGGGGTGGAGGGAAAAGCAAGCCCGGAGGGTTTGCAGCCGCTTCTAGTAGTTTCCAGGCGCTGCCGGGCGGCTGGGATCAGGCGGTCCTGAGGCAGTGGCTGTGGCTGCTCGGAAGCTGGTGGCGGTGCGACAGGAGAGCCGATGGCCAAGTGGGGTGAGGGCGACCCACGCTGGATCGTGGAGGAGCGGGCGGACGCCACCAACGTCAACAACTGGCACTGGTGAGGGCCAGCGGGCCAGGCCGCGGGAGCGCTCCGGCCCGGCCGGGGTTGCGGGTCCCTGGAACCTTGGTCGGAACAAACCTAGGGCCCGGGGCAGCCCTGCCCGGAGAAGGGGGTGGGTTCTCACTCTGGCAGGGGTCCGTAGTCCCAGGTCCCTCCACGCACCACCACCTGCCTCTGTTTCAGTGTTTGGAGGGCAAGGGGGCGACGGGGAGGGCTGCACCCAGAGGAGGGGTTCCAGAGATACGAGAACATAACCTCCTAGCCGATGCATCCAGCCTGAGCGGGGACATGCTTCCCACACGTGGCCGGAGGAGTCAGTGAGACCCACACCGCCGTGGATTGTGTTGGGAGACTGCTGAGTTAGGCTCGGGGCTGCGGGGCTGGAATTGCTATTTTGCGGCTTACGGGTGAGATTCAGAGTCAGTCGTAAGGGACCGCTGCCTAAGTCTAGAGGGCAAAGGTTTGGAACGTGTTCTGCAAGTGTTGAGAGCTCCGTGATGCTGAAGATGCTAGGGACTCTCACCCGGAACTAGTCAATTGGCTGTGTAGTAACTCCCGGGACTGCCCCTGGTT